CACACACACACACACACACACACACACACACACACACACACACATTCTACACTGTCATGATTAATCAGAAGGACAGAAACAACTACTTGTTTTGTTATTTGATGCAAGAAATAAAAAAGTAAACCTGCCTGAAACCCTGCTTTCAATGTACATTTGCACTGGGTCAAATGTGTTTTTATACAGCACAGAATATAACTTTCCTATTTTTCTCTGTTACACTTATCTAGCATCTTAAAAGTGAATGTATTGATTTGTTGAAGTTGTATCGCTTTTTTGCAAATCCAATGTGTGGTCATTTTGATATTGAGTTCCCAATAGAGTAAATATCTGCTTTGACTTTTACAAAGCAGGCAAACATTATTTTCCTTTCCCCCTTCCTCAATTCTTTTAAATAATGCAGTGGTACCAAGCACCTATAAAGCAAAGTGAATGCATTAATTTCCCACCTTCCACTCAAGGAAGAATCCAGGTTGACTTTTAAAAGACTAGATATTCCTCATGGCCCAGTAAGCTTCCATTGATGGAAGGCCTGCTTCAAATCCATAAATAAGATATGGAGCTTAGGTATCTTCAGATGTAGTTTCTCCCCTCTCCCTTGCGTGTTGCTTTTGACCCAACATTGCCTTTCTCAAAGCATAACAAAAACTCTGATCAAGTAAATCCTGGAGCTTTTTTTGTGCTACAACGTAATGCCTTTTGAGAAAAGATTTGAATAATGAATGCCCTTTCTTTCTTCCTTTCAGGGACCGAAGAAAAAAAAGGAAGAAAAGAGGTTCTTTTTGCCCACTTCTGCTTCCATAAAATTATGCAAAACCTGGTGCTCTTCATTAGCTGCCCTGATATGGTCCTTCAGAGGGCTTGGAAAGGGATCTTGTGAATTCATTTCGGAAGCAGCTACCTCTCTGTTCTTCAGCACCTGCATTGAAATGGATACTAGAGTTGATTGGAAATCTTGACAGAAAAGTGATAGATAATTAAGGGGAAAGGAAACCATGCTTTGAATGCTTCAGTGGGCCATTTTAGTCTCAGCCCTTTGATACGTTGGGAGAAGCCATTTCCAACCCAGATTTCGGGAATACAATCCTTGGTTTCCATGGATCTTTAGGCTGATGGGATTGAGTTTCAAGTAGGATTTGGCGATGACTGGGAAGAAGGGGGGATCTGTGTGCATGGAGCAACTCTCCTTCTGTTTGTTCATGAGTGTCTGCTGTGGCTGGTGGTATCAGCCGGTCAGCACAGCCAAACCCAAAGGCCAAGGGCACCCCCATATGAACTCCATTCGCCTTGATGGGGATATCACTTTAGGAGGCCTCTTCCCTGTTCACGGACGCGGCTCTGAGGGAAAGGCCTGTGGAGAACTAAAGAAGGAGAAAGGGATTCATCGTCTCGAGGCCATGCTTTTTGCTCTGGATCGAATCAACAATGATCCTGAACTACTTCCAAACATCACTTTGGGGGCCCGCATCCTGGATACCTGTTCTCGAGACACTCATGCTTTGGAGCAATCCCTCACTTTTGTTCAGGCCCTAATCGAGAAGGACAGTACTGAGGTGCGTTGTGTTAATGGGGGCCCCCCTATCATCACAAAACCGGAACGCGTGGTTGGAGTAATTGGTGCATCTGGCAGCTCTGTCTCTATTATGGTGGCCAACATCTTGCGCCTTTTTAAGGTAAGATTGCAGTCTATTAGCTTTTTTCCCTCTTCTCCTCTCCTCTCCTAGCTGCACAAGATAATTTGCAATTCAATCTGCAGGTGCTAAAATTGCTGCCAGTGACTGTTAAGTGGGGGAAAAAAACGTTAAAGTGGTTTTAACAATAATTATGGAAAACTAAGTTCTTGCTATGTGATGGGGAAAGGAGATCAAACATTCCTTTTGTATTCTGAGGGTGTTTAAAGAGCTCTTGGTTTCCTGTGAGGAATTTATTCAGGTAGGGAAATACCTCTGCTTTCCACTTTTGCAAGGAAAACTAATTCTAATCCTATCAGATGCTGCCCAGATTCCCAGTGTCTAGACCTTAATGTCAAGTAGAATATTCATGTCGGGTGTACTTCAGAAGATGCTGTCTGGGAATGAAAGAGTATGAATGATGGCTCTATGCTAACAAGCCATTTATAAACCAGCAAGAGGGAGAAGACCTTTTTTAAGGTGTATCTGAAATTTCCAAATCTTGGGGGCTTGGTCAGCCCTAAGGGCAGGTGAGGGCACCCGGCTTGCTTGATTTATCTTTGGGTGCTAAAATATTCTGAAGACTTCTCACACATTGCCTTTTAACATTGCTAATTATAGCAATGACAGAGCAAGATGTTTGTGGTGCATGTTTGACAATGGCAGGCTTTCATACACATTGTTAAAAATACCTCAGCGCAGATTTCGAAAGAATAGAGGAGAAAACATTTGTGCTGAATGAATGCTAACGCAATACAGTCTCTTATTCTCATGTGATAGACTTGTTATACAGTAATATACTTAACATCACTGGTGTGCTTTTAATTTTAAAGCTAATGGTTTCAGCACTGTCATGCTTATTTTTAGATTCAATTTCCTCAGTTTTGGATTTCATATCAGCATTCAGCCATGATGCATGCAGATTTTGGTAGACAAAGTCCAACATAGCTGGATTAGGACAAGGGCGGTTGCTTCAAATAGGTCAAATTTCCACATTGCTATGCTCTGTCAAGCATTATGGGTACTTTTCAGGATCTCACCTTTGATGCTTTCACTCTAAAGACATAGCACTGTGACCTTTTCCTGTGTTAGATGGATATTTAATTGAGGTAAGTATAATATTGCCTGTAATACGGTATTATAAGAAAGAAAGAAAAATAACTCTGAATTTAGGAGAGCTCTCCTAACAGGACTATCCTGTGTAATACCTGGCTCTCCCATCTTGACCAGTAAGTGCCAACTCCAATTGAAACTCACCTTGGAGAATGAACACATTCCTGTGTCACACCAGAATCCATGCTCCTCTCCCCCCAAAAAGGGCAGGTCCAGAATACGCAATATCTGTCTCTCTGTCTAAAATAACTGATTAATATCAATTGACCATAAAATAAAGTACCCCAATGCAAGTATTAATTAGCCCACATTGATATAAGCTATTGTCTTTTCTCATAAAACCCATCTTCTTTCTTCATGAAGGCCCTGCAAAAAAGAATGGGGGGAAACCCCATAAAACAAAATGGATGGGTGTGTGTGTAAAAGAAAGAGGTTGCTGCACTGAGAAAAGAAGGAAAATGAAGGAATAAAGCTAGACTGAGGTGAGGCAAGCTGAAAAGTGAATGGGACATAATAGACTAATAGAGTTGGAAGGCACCTTGGAGGTCTTCTAGTCCAACCCCCTGCATGAGCAGGAGATCCTATGCCATTCCGGACAAGTGGCTGTCCAGTTTCTTCTTAATGAAGAGAAGGCATGAACAAAAGCCCTGTTTAGGCATTGTGGAAGGTTTATCTATAGAAGGGACACAGACCAGGGGTGGGATTCAACATTTTTAGCAACTGGTTCTTTGCCCAGTTGCTGCATGGACATGGCCTACTTGGTGGGCATGGCCTACCTGGCCTTCTGCAACACAGTGGTGGGTGTTTTAGCCCTCCTCAGGCTCCAGAGGCTTACCGTGAGCCTCCAGGAGGGCAAAAATAGCCTACCCTGGGCTCCAGAGGCCAGAAACAGTCCTGTTTCTGGAACTTCTGTGAGGCTCATATTTCACTTTCTCAGAGCCTCCGCATGGGCCCTGCACTTACTTGGCATCCAAAATGGGCCATATGGAGATTCCTGGGAGTGGCCAGCCAGTCCTTGCAAGTACCGGTTTGGCAAACCAGATGTAAAATTAGCACCTGGTTCACCCGAACTGATCTGAACCGGCTGAATCCCACCCCTGAAATAGACCATGTATAGGATTGCCTAATCTTCAGCACATTCAGTCTTTGAACAATATTCTCTCTGGCAATTTGCCTCTCCTCCCATTCTTGCACAGCTTCCATTCTTCTCAGATAATGTGAGGTGAATGCTCTCCACTTCTAATTCACAGGCAATTATTCAGAAAAGAAAACACTTCATCTTCCTGGTGGAATAGCTATTTACTTATTGTTGATTTCCCCCAGCCTTGTGTCTGTTCTGTGCTGAACTTTATCTTCTATGTTCTTGTAGTCAGTTGCTTTTGGGTTCAACCCAAATTCTACTTTTAGAAAGAATACACATACTGTTACTTTTGGAGGTTAATAAACAATATCCCTAGGGGCATTGGTGCCAATCCTTCATTGGCACTATCCTCCTATGATCTCATGCTATTTTTCACCTTGAACAGACAACTCCATTTTCTGACAGACTGAAACACCCCCATTTGGTATAGCGTGAGCCATTTTCTGATTCACTCCATTTCATTCCATAGAAATTTTTAGTCTCTCTCTAGGGATCTTAAATGTTCTAGATGAAACAGTATGTGGGAATGACCTTAAGAGACAGAGTGAAGAGATGCTGCCAAGGAAACAGCCAGATAAGAGAGACAATAGCCCACAGCCAATACTAGATAGAGTAAAAGGCCCTCACTAAGTTCTCAGGCTGCCACGGTGATGGCAGGAGAATTGTATTTTCAAACTTGCAAGATTCTATTAATGTAGCTTTACAATGAAGCAAAATTAGCTTATCTGGCCATGTTTCCTGTCTGATCTACCTGATATCAACCATTTTAGTCAGTTTTATGTTCTCGTTAAAAACAAACCAAAGAAAAGCCTGTCTTATTTGATATTCTCTGCTTCTGCCAGGGCTACATGTTGAACAATTCTTTGCTCTGCCTTCTAGCCTCTGGAGCTGGGCTCAAGTGGTTGCAACTGCTGTGAAAAGGTTTCTGGTTGCAAAATTATAGTCCTATCATTAACCCCCTTGTCATTATCTGACATTTTCTTTCAGTGGGCCAGATACCAGCATCGTGGTCTTTTTGCAAGAGGGTCAGAGAAATGTCATGTAATATAAAGTGAAAACACAGAGTAGGTGGAAATGTTAGCAACTTTTTCATTAAGTTTGCTGGAGGCAGCGTTGATTGGATCATAGTATTTCATGGCCTTTCTCAGCATTCCAAGGTAATCAGGAGTGGTTCACATGGTTGGCTTCGAAATACTGTCAAGGGATTGGGGAATGGAAATGATGTCTTGTGATGGTATTCAAGGAACCAGGTACCAGAAAAAGAAAAAAAAAGCTGTATTCCTTGGAGCAGGGATGTCAAACTCGCAGCATCATAGCGGCATCATGTGACATATCAGGACTTCCCCCCATTTGCTAAACCAGGCAGGGGCGGAGTCAGCACATGACATATTCAGGCTGTGGGCCATGAGTTTGACACCTGTGTGTTGGAGTATTTTTTTTTAAAAAAAGGGAAGTTCAAATCCTGGTGATTGCATTATACAGTGCTGGCAGTGATAATCCTCCCTCCCTCCCTTCTTCCTTGCTTCTATGTATACTAACTTTATGCAGATATGTTTTTGTTTTTATTTTTCAACAAAACAGTTCCTTAAAAAAATGATTAATCTTTGCTCACCAGTTTGGAATTCTAGTCCTCCCTCCCCTAATATCAAGGTAGCGATAACAAGGTAGTGATTGGACCTTATGTATTATGATTTTTTAAATGAGAAAAGAGAACTCTATAATTCATTACAAACTTATGGTAGACCTAGCAATCTCTCTATTATATTTATTTATTTTGAAAACTTAATATATCTCAGTTAATTGCAAATTGTTGGGCAATTTACAAATAAAAAAATTAAAAACATGTAATGTAAAAGTAATATTACAGTAGAATAAATCTTGAATAAAATAGAAGTAACTAAGAATAAAACTAGGAATTACTTAGAAATGAATAGGAGCATAGAAGACGCATTAAAAAAAAATCAGGTGATTTTGGGCCAGTCGCTTTTTCTCTTAGTCCAACTTACCTAACAAGATTCTTGTAGAGGAAATAGGAGGAGGAATGACTATTAGGTATGTCCACTACTTTGAATTATTTATAAATAATAATAAAGACAGGATAAAAAACTATTAAATAAAAACATCAGAAGAGAATAATGAATGTACATACATCTAAAAGAGACAGGGAGGAAAGAGATTGGAAGCTTTTAAAAAAACAAGGATTCTTTAGATAAAAAAGTAAGTCCAGAAGTTACTGCTGTTCCTATTGCTTGGGAAAATTGCTACTACCATATTAAAAAAAAATCAAGCCAGGTTCCCAGGGACTATACTATATTTCATCAACTGGACAAGGTTTGAAAGATGGCCAGGCATTTCCTTGCTGTAATAGCAATTTCTATAAAAGATTCTAGGCCAATTCTCCAGTGTTAACAACCCTCTCAAATGCTTTCCTCTGACTGCAAATATCAGCAGCTGTCACTTTTCCTATTCCCCCCCAAAATGAACTTTTCTGAGAAAATGATGGGGCATAGGACAGTGGTTCAAAGAATTAATCAAACATCTGACAATTTTATTCTTCTGTCAGATTCTAAGGATGAGGATCTTAATCAGTTTCTGAAGTGGGGATGGTAACCCCCTTCTCAGTACTCTTTTCCTTTCCATTAATGTTATTAGTGCAGTGGTGGTGAACCTTTTCGCCACGCTCGTTTGGTCTGTGACTGGGAAGAGGAGCTGTCTAGGGGGCATGCGCGCACCAGAAAATGAACTTCTAGTTTAGGGGATGTGCATGTGTGCTGGCCACCAAGTCTTTTGATTGCTGCTGTGCATGCGCATGCCAGAAAACAAGACCAACTCTTCTGGTTTCCACCACTGCCCATGGACAATGGCCAGCTGATAGGCATGTGCGTATGCGTGACAGAAACCGAGAAGAAGAACGGGTGATGCTGCGCTTGACAGGTGGCATGGCTCCACGTGCCACTTCAGGCATGCATGCCATAGTTTTGCCATCATGGAATTAGTGTCTTCTCTGGTTGCAACCCAAAAGTTTTTAAACTATTTGCATGTCTACCCTGATATAAAAATGAGACACAGAAGGCTCAGAATGCTAAGAGAGAACATCTATTTGTGTCATCCTGGATACTTATTATATAGGAAAGCAAGGTGTAAATTTAATAAATAAAAAGTAAACACTTTGAAGCAATTCCTATTGATACAGTGAGACTGTCTTTCCTGGATATTTAGAGAGAGGATTTCAACCTTAATTCTTTGCAATAACATGAGCAAACCTGGCGGTATCTTTAAAGCCCAAAATATTTATTTTGCCTTAAAGGTTTAAAAAGCATGAAGCATTATGGGGTGCTCAAAGGCATGTAGCCTTTTGTTTGAAGAAGGAAGCAAGCAAGCCAAGAGGGAGAAAAGAAGTTTAGAGAGGAAAAGGCATGTGGAGTTGGGAGAAAGATGCTGAAATACATAATGCAATGAAGAGTCCTGGTTATTGCTTCAGAAATGGGCTGGCAAAATGTACAGAAATAGAGGGAGGAAGATGGTTTCCTCAATTTGGGCTCTAACTCTACCTATTTGCTTTTTTTTTAATATTACATTTTTTTATTTTGTTACATAAACAACACATGCCCACACCAGTGGGAAAAGAAAAAATCAAAACACAAAAAAGACAAAAAACAAAAAACAAGGCAGGGGAAAAAAAGAAAAAACAAAAGAAAAAAAAACACAGGTATATATTATAAAAACGTATATCAGCTGGTTACAACATGTTTTGGTGCATCTCTTCCATTAATTCATATTAATTCAAATATCTTAACTCAAATGTTTAC